TTTCACATGAAAAAGATTACTTAGTATTATATCAACACATAGATAACATATTTATATTAGTAGATATCATGGTTATATGTCTGATGAATTAAAAGCATATTAAAAATATATCACATATATTATTAAGTATATATCACGTATATATCAATGTTATATTAGTAGTAAATCATATAATCATATAAGAAGTTATATAATAGATATCATAGTTATATCAGTGATAAATTAGAGGTATATCAAGTATATATTACAAATATATAAGTGTTATATCAACATGGTAAATCAATGATAAATTATATAATCATATCAGAACTTATATTAATAGAAATCATAGTTATATAAATCAGTGCTACGATGGTAAATTTGACCTTTTATTATTTGGACCTCCGTTTTTTCTCAAAATTTTGTTATATTTGCAAAACTTAAAGGTAGATGTTAAATTTGTTATTTCCTTACATTTTTTTTGTCATATTTGCAACTGTCCAAAAATATATTAGTACATGTATTTATAATAACCAAGCACCGATACCGTATATTTTATCATAATAGTATAGTATATTGACTAGTGTTGGAAAAATTAATTGGAAAAATACCTGACTCCTTGAGAAGGGTAAGAGAAATCTTGTACTCACAAACAATTGATAGAGAATTATAAAACAAACCATTTTTAAAATAAGATGAATTGTCAAGGTCAAGGAGCCAAACATGTGTATCTAGATAAATAATAACTGTGCGGGGGATTATTCAGGGTATGTACAGCTTGTTCCTGCATTTGCATCTCCAGGCTTGGGGATAGTAGTCCGCCGTCATCGGAGCTCTCGGCGGCACCCGCACCCGCGCAAGAACCAGCTTGCACGGCGTGCAGGTCCCGCACTTTGCGGCGCACTGAGGCGGCGACGATCCAGGCCCTCTTCTTCCGGCGGCTCCCACCTGCACATGCATGCCAAATTAATCAACCCATTGTAATTTCATTGCTTCCCTTCCCATAGTATTATTAGGTAATTTACCTTGAGAGTGTTTGTATGGGAGAAGCCGCGGGTGGCAGTGGACAACAATAATAGCAATAACAATGATATCAAGACCTGGAGCTGCATCACTCTGTCTCTTCTATTCAACTCCATCAACACACCAGAATTTACAAATTCAAATATAATTTGAGGATCTGAGATTGTGTGGATGCAGGGGAGAGAGAGATATTTAAAAGCAAAATATTTCAATTTCTTCTTTATTCCAACGCTACCTTAATTAATTTCGCCATTTCGGGCATGTTTAATTTTCATTTTTAGGACATTCTTTTAAATGCCATTAAAAATATAACTATTTATTACAATATTACAAATCTCAAACTAATTTTATAAATAATTAATGGGGTTTT